TTTTTTTTTTTATTCAGTTTCTCAAAACTTGCAGTTCTAATTGTCAAGTATCTTTACCAGAATGTTGTATCGCAAAACTCAGTTACCATGTAATGAAAACATTTATTTTTCATTTCATTCTGTCAGTCTTCCGTAAACTGCATTTGCTGCCTACAGACAGAACGTACTGTCAATGAAGGGGAAATCCTCAGACTAACAAAGCATGCCTTTTATACTGTGGTGAATATTTGTATAAAACTGAAGAGTAATATTTCAAAAATGATTTCCGATAAGTGATAAACATGAAGTGAACTGGAATACCTGAGCTTTTGCTAATATCTGTATATTGCTTCTGACTTGCGGTAACGACTTTGGACAACCGAGACCAATCTCTAGCCCATCTATCAACTGTCGATACTAAGTATGATATAAAATTAAAACGGATATTATCTTGATTAACTTTTTACTGCTATGTAATTTATGATACATACTACATATACGGGTACATGGAAAAAATAAAGGCACATTGCAGATATAATGCTTGATAAAAGTGTAGGGATATGTGAACATAAAGGAATATAGATATATTGTAGTGCCATTGTATATGTAAAATAAAATCCATATCGAACATAACTGTGGTGCTTTAAGATTGAATGAAATCTATTTTCAATAAGTTAGTTAGTTAGGATAAATTATTTGGAACATACACAAAAACAATTCCGATATAAGTCCAATATAAGAACATAAAATAACATAACTAATCTAAAATAATTTTAAAATCTGAAATACAAAATTAGCTACCCCGGTAAAATACTATAAACATATTTATCTACACTTGATAAAATCTTGATAAACAATTCTTCAGTTGGCAAGATTTGGTAATGAGGTGAATATATAAATAGTGTATAGAGGAATTTTTTACTGCATTCTGAAAAAAACTGTTATGTTTACAGAGATAAATGCAAGGTTTTTCATCACCAACTTCATTATTCATATATAATTATTTTTGAATGTTTTATATGTATGTTTAATATGACCAGTTTTGTTGAGTACATTTGGGTCAACCTTTCTTTAAACAGAATGCAAAAGTTTGCTTGATTAGTATCTGTGTTTGGACAAACTTATACCAAGGATCATATTTATATCTTTGAACATTAAAATTTCAACAATGTTCGGCACATGTAAATTTTGGAGAACAATTAAGAACAAAGAAAATCACCATTTCTCATATATATTTGTAGATGCTCTAATAGAAGCCTGTAATGATTTGAGGCTATGACGTTTAGTTTAGTTATTTGCATAATGATATTGATACATTGTATGGAACATCTCGTGAGTATTTAGACTCAGTTCCAGGCCTAGCAGTTGAGCAATAAACACCTTGGCTACAAGTGCTCCTCTCCAGTGTGTTATTCTCCTCCCGGATCTGGTGACCAATACTCACTTGGTTCACTCTACCTTGAGAAGTCTGTTCTCAGTTTACAAAGCCGCATCCCCTCTGTTCCATTGTATTGAAACCGTGGCTTCTAATACAAATTTTACAGTAATAGTTGCAAAGTATGATCTGCGAGTGCAATGTTAACAGCTTTGATTGACAGGGTGATTACAAAAGCACAAGTCATACATTTCAAACCAACCTTGGGTAACTGGGCATCTATTTTTTCCTGAAAACGCACAACTTTCCCATAGATATAGACAACATTACTGTTCACATCATTGGTTTCTTCAATCTGGTGACTCTGCGACAGTGACTTCTGGTTATTGACCTGAATTTCCAGCAACTGATCTTTACATTTGTTACAGACCCTTAAGTATAAGTGGATATCAGGTTCAATTTCCGGACACTGGAATAAGAGAAGGATAAAACTATGGAAGACTTCAAAAGAAAAAGGTGGTAATTATGCAAAAATTTGACTGCACATTATTTTTTTACGTTTGAGGGGATACAGTGATTTCCCAGGATCACAATGCATTGTGCTTCTTCCCAAAAAAATTATTTGACAATCATATTGTCAACCTTTTTATCAGTGTGTTATATAAATAACGTAGTATATTGCAGTCTGTAGCGAAGTGACCATAGAATTAAAGTTCTTTTCGCCAAATTTAAAGGGTTGTGGCTGTTGATGTGAGACCCATACGAACAAAAAAGGTGACGTTGGATGTTGCGCAGACCAACGAGTAGAAACAAATTTTACTGGAATCCATCGATGAACATTACATAGCATCAGCCAATATTTAGTGCATATCGCGTTCTGATAAAAACTCATGGTTCTGATTGCCAATGGGAGAGTGCACTAGATTATGGGGGAAATCAATGTTTATCAACACAAATCTTGCACATACATGGCACAATGTTGACTGCCCTTTAAGTCATTTTCCTCGATTCTCAAATCTTCCAAACCCTCCACAAATTGTCCACACTTACTATGACATACACATTATGTACATTTCTACTAATCTGCAGTGGCGTCCCAGAACACTATACTATCAAGAATGACACATATGTTAAACCACTAAATTAGGGTTAGGGTTCTTGAAATTTGCATAACAAAGAAGTAGTAACTTCAAATAAATTCTAAGTGAAGCATTACAATCTTTTAGATGTGCTGCAATTTATGATCTCATACACAGACAAAAAGCTGTAAATGCATTCTTGATACAGAATAAGATTCTGGGTTTCCACAATGACAATGGGCTGTTAAATTTGAATCATTAGAAAACAATCTGAAAGAAGGTACGTACTTACTCCGATAATTCTGATTATGGCCCATCTCGGTCGCTCTCCTAGTGCATTTCGATCTTCTTCATCAGGTACAAATACTAAGAGATCTGTGGAGGAGCAAGGCATGCACACGACACACCCACATACTTTACAGTTGTATTTCTTGCTAAGCCAGCCAAATGCCAAGTGACATCGCTGGCACACGTCAGTAGCACTTTTCGGCTAGGAAAATAAATATATATATATATCAATGATGAAGTGGTATATATAGGATGGCGATCATCACATACTTTTAGTGCATTGTGGGTTAGTTTAAACCAAATCAAACCATGATTGAACACAAAAACCTTAACTAACTATCCCATAATGCACTAAAATTGGAAATTGCGATATGGTCTACGTAACATGCCTTTGAATTTCATGCAAATAAAAAATGTATTTTACAAGCATTTTAAGATCGTAAAACAAAATGGCCGTCAGTTGGCAATTTTGAATCCAATTCGAGAGAAACAAAATGACATTGATCAAGATCCCATGTACCAAGTTTGAACATATTCTGTCTATGCACAACCAAGAGCCGTTTCTGGAATGTTAGTAATGCTCGTTTTTGATGCATTTTCAATATTAAACTGGCCGCCATTTGAATGTCTTGAATTGAATCAGAAAAAGAATAAATGTATGAATTATAAATCAGCCCAGGCATGTCCAAGATACATGTACAACGCACTCAAGAAAGTCAATCCATAAGACAGCCTTTGGACAGAGACTAAAAAGAAATATTCACTGCTATACATTTTAGTGATATTCCTGGACATTTTTCTTGCATAATAATAATGATAATTCCATAATTAAAATGATACATTGTGTCCAGTAATTATTCTTCATAAGATGTGTTGTTAATGCTGTTTGAGTTATCACAATATCATCTGTCACATAAATATCATAAATATCATGTGTATGGTTTTCATCTGGCAAATTAAATTCAAAACAAACTTTTTATAAACTTTATCAGAAAATACAAATGCAATTTAGAGCGAATCTTTATATTCAATACCACAAAGTGTAGTGTTTACCGTCCATCTGCGAGCTTTCTGCCATGTTGGTACCGTGGTGAGCGGACTTATAATTTCCCGCATCGATGACCTGATCTTTGAATGGCCGATACTGAGTTGAAAACCTTCAATCAAGCGCTCACATTCTGCGTTTATATCAAACGGTAAACTGAATGGGAAAAAGCAAAGTAAGAAAAAAATAATATAAAACTATTTTTCTACCTTCTGTAATTTCTGATGATTTAAAGGAAAGGTCATCGCTGCTAATGAATGTTTATGGCTATCTACAAAAAAATCCGAAATTTTCGAATATCATTTTATACTGAATATAGTCGCTGCCATTTTACTATATATACCTCACTATGTTTTGATTTGAGAATGAAAGCAAAGCATTGTGGGTACATTTGACAACATAGGCTAGGTTAATCATAAGTGCCTTTAATGGATCCACCTGCCATACCATGTTACTTTGTTATATCTGTGTTTGTACCTTGTTTATTATTTTCCTAAATAATCACTCTCATATATG